GACGGGAAATGAAACAAAAAAGAACACGAACATAGTAGTATAAACAAATAAGCGTAAACAAAACTCAAACAGCGAGCAACAAGTTAGTGAGTGCGTGAGTGAGTGAATGAGTGTGCGAATGAGTGTGTGTGAGTGTGTGTGTGAGTGCAGAACAAGTTTCGTTATGCTGAGCATTTGGACGACCCCTCGTCCACACTGCTGCTGGAGTTGTGAGCGCAAAGTGGCTGCAGCGACAGCGATAGCGACGACGACGCCGACGCCAGCAGCGCTGTCGACGACGGCACTTCACTTAACCGCATTGGAGGCACCGGGAGCCGGCATTGTTGTTGGATCAGTTTACGAAACGTCGGCGCGTAAGTTGGTTGCGTTTGCTGCGCAGAGCGATGCGATCCGAACGACCGGCAACTAACAAAAGATACAATTATTGTATTCGCCAGATACTTGTGTGCCCGTGCATGCGATTAAGCGGCAAGTGTTGTTGCCTTGCACCACAAAGGATGCAACTCAAGTGCTTAAGTGTTTCCCTTCGCGTCTCTAGTGCCCTTGAAAACCAAATACTACACATATAGTAACTATACCACGGGAATTGCTTTACTCACAAAGAATTTCTCCAAAAAAAAATATTACAAATTTTAGCGCATTTAAGTCACCCCAAGTCAAGTTCAAGATGTGCATTCGAGAAATGTAAAACGAAACCCCAAACTTAAGCCCAAGCCGCGTTAAATAATCGCAACCAAAATAAAATAAGAAAACATACATATAGTATATGCACAAGAAATAACATGCAAACGAAAGTAACAAGAGTAATAAGGTCGAATTTATAATTTTGTCAACGTCGGCTCTGGCGACAGGGCAGAATTTTCTAAAATACGAGTGTATATATGTGTGCCTCAGTGATAAATGATACGAAATTCTTTGAAACTGTCACGTTTAAAATTGTGCGCCCTTTTTGTTTTTTGTTGTCCGAAATGCGTTTGTTTTTCGTGCGCGTTGCGGTATATTGTGTTGCATCTTTTTTGCCACACTCTCATTGTTGTTGTTTTATCTGCGATACACTGTATTTTGGCTGCAGATATATTTATTTTTTGGGAATATTCTGGGCGACGGCGTTAACAAATATTGCTGCATGCGCGAAAATTTACTTTTTACAGCTACCAGTTTATTTTCGTTTACATAAATAAGTAATCGCACAGGCATAAATATGTATTCGATTGCACTTACTACCTGCATCGACTGCAATGAATTTATAATTAAATTAAACAGAGAACGAACAACAATTTCGTGTGAAATAAATTAAAAATCATGCCCATTTTTCAAGCCTGCAGCATATATGGCAAACACAAACACAATAAAGCGAAAATTGTGCAACTCCGCTTAAATGTTTATTAACAATATATACTTACAATATCAGTGGGAACACACTTTTCTTAATAAACCCTTTCTGATTGGCCACATCTGAAGTGCTAAACACTCAATTGGATTAACAACCTCTTAAAATTCAAGCATTAAGCAGCTTCAAGTTTGAAACATATTCTCGAAATATCAAAAATTGAGAAAATAAAAGTCGGGCTTCAGGGTTGGAAGATATGATTATATGGGAGCATTATGCAGCATTTTCCAATTGAAAATAGTGGATCAGCTTTGAAGTTATTTTAAACTTGTGCATTTTGTGTATTAGTTTGAAACTATTATCAGAAATAACATAATTAAATATTGGTCCAGCTCTTAGGATTAATAATATGCTGATAACCTTGCCATCGATGTATAGGGCTTAATCTGATATTTAAATAAACAGCGTGAATAGACTAATTGACTAATTTAACTAATTACATTATACCATTATTTTTCCAATACTGCATTGTTTTTGGATGGATGTTGTCTCCACTTTTGTATTTGGATCTCACACATATTAGTCCTTTGTTGAGTATCATTTTTTGAGTATTTGATTTTGTAAATATTAAATATTATATTTATTTGGATAAAGATAGAACCAGCTTTGTTTTACGTTTCTTGTGTTGTTGTGTTGGGCCTCTATGGAGGCACGAGTATGTGGCTCTCGTTTAATAATTGAAGTAGAATCATTTAGGTATCCTCCTACGCGTTTTAGCACATTTACTGCCTTCTTCGGGGAGTCTACTTTATTGTATTTGTTTCCATGAAATGATACTTGAATATCAATAATGAACATATTAAATACACACTTGCTTTAAAAAGTGCCGTCAAGCGGCCTAACATCTTAGTTACACATTTTTTAATTGTGGTTTGGTAGTTTTTTTCGATCTAGAAATAATGTACAATAATTTCGGCAAATCATGGCTGCTGCATAGTTGCCAAAATATTCTTTACAAAACAGCACTAGAATATTCCTTCCAATCATAAAAACTTGGCTCTAGACAAAAAAGAAAATCTTCGTATCGAGAGGTTTATCAAACTAGGCGATTGTCCACAAAATTCGTCGTATGCAAAACAGTCTTGGCAACAAGCAGCCCAAGGGTATACTATTTCTGAAAATTATTTAAAAAAATATTGGGATAATCTATACAAACATCTCTATCTGATTCGCCGGCATGACGTGCAAGGACGAGAACCAAAGGAATTCTTAAAACTACTCACTAGATTTATGCGTGCATATAATTTTAAAAAAAAAACAAGAATCTCCACAGAAATCAGCAATAAGCTCAGCCAAAACTTTGAATGTCCCACGCTGCTGTCAAACGCCTCAGGCAATGGGCCGCTGCTCCTACTCGCCTGCTCGCCTGCCCGCCCTCCTGGCTGGCGTTGAAAACCCTCGGAAGGTGACGGCAACAGTGGCAGCCAGCGAAGGTCGTTTATTATTATTTGCTTTGCATTTTATTGAATTTTTTGTTGTCGTGTTGTTGTTGTTGTCGGTGTTGTTGTTGTTGTCGGTATTGTTTTTTTTTTGTGTGTCATTTTTCTGTTTAACGCCGCCACGCATCAGGAGCAGAGATTTAGTTGCCGAAATGCTTGGGCCCGCTACACGCATATATCTTACGGATACAAGATACGACTGTCGACTGTCGACCGCCGCTGGCAGACGTGGCAGGAAGGCAGGGTAGAGAGAGGGAGGAGACAGTCGAAGGCTTCGCATCGGCATCATCTTGTTGCCTGCAGTTTATTTGTTAAAGTTGTCGCTTTATTTGCTTGTCGGCCTGTCAGAGGCGCTCAGCCCGCTTTATCTTTGTCATCATTTTGTGCGGCATTGGGAGCCGTGTTACTCCAACGCCTCGTCTCTCATATACTTGTACAACGCTGTATGTGCATCTCTATATATAGAGAGCTGTACATAAGTGGATTTGTCTTGTCTTACAATGGCAACTTTTTATCTTTTATCTCCCACAGTTGTTGCTCATTCAGTGTGTTTCTGTTTGCTTATCTTTATGCATATTCCGCCAATCTTTGTTGCACTAAAAACCAACCCAGACACAAGGGAGCAAGGGGCAGACCCCGATCTCGCATGTCTTCCTTGTCGGTGGCTAATTGGGACAATATGACTCAAAAATTTGCATGCAACATGTGGGAATTTGCTCAGCTCAGTTCAACTCAAGGCCTTTATGAATTATGTTTGTGCTGATGAGTGAGCTTTCAGAAGCAATTTAATGAGCAATTAGCAAATGAGGCAATATGTTTTTATGCTTTTAAATAAATAGAGGAATGATTTCTGTATAATGCATATGTCAATTAATATTTGCAGTTTTAGAAAAAAGTTAACTGTAAACATATTTTGGATTGACAGAATCAGCTGAGACCAATAGGTTTCTTTTCGATGAGTATTCTGCATGAGTCAATAAATGCAGTTTTGGCAAAGAGTTGAATGTGATTATGTTTTGAACTGAAAATTTCTTTTAAAAGCATTACCGTCAATGACGAAAAAATCCTCTTTTTATTACTAAAGAAAAGAAAATTCGAAATTGGCTGAAAACATTTAAAATTTCTCTGGATTTCTCAAGTCATAATGCGCTGGAATATTTTTGCCTAACTAATTCTTCTATTTAATTAATTCTAACACTGTCAATATATATATATATTATAAATAAATTATTTAATCTAAATAGACAATTTTTCTATTGCTTATATACATGAATTAAGAGTATGAAGAACATCCTTCTTCAGACAACATTTTCAATGATGATATTGAATTTGCAACATATCTTTCAAGTATTCTGAATATACAATGAAGCAGAGATGTTATGTATTATTTGTTGTTAATATATAGACACCTTATATAGCATTATGCACAACTTCTTATCTCCTATACATACATTCATTGTACAATTTATATCCTCCTTGTTCAAAAATGTAGTTTGCCTCTTTTATGACTCATAAAAGTTATGTTTTATTTTTGAAATACACTTCCAAATGGTCTCTTAGAAATCGTTCGCTGATTGTGTTAACAAATTAAAGCTGCCATTCCATCGAAACTCTAAGCTGCCCAACGCTACTAAAACGCCCATTTTGTAAATTATTGAACTCTTTGCCACATCTGCCGAATCGTTCATCGAGCAGCCACCACTAATACGTGACGGGTACTCGTCCCCTCGCCCCTCTGCTCCATTTCTTGCCCGACTTCAATTCAATTTCCGCCTGCTGTTCCACACATCAGAGTTGTGTCTGGACATCGATGATGTCAACATTTATTTGATCGTTGAACTCATCTTTGTGGCCATTTCGAGCGAAGTCTGTGCAGTTCATTAAACGAAATGTGTGGCATGGAAGTGGCAAAGAATTTTCATTGATGGCTGCGTTGGCCGCTTTGGATGGCAAATGGCCAACACATATGGTGTTGCCAGCCATCTGAAGTAATGTGTCAAATAAACGCATCTGGGAGATGAAAAGGGCGGATTCTGTGAAATGTTTGTGGTTGAACACATTAAATTTAGTTTATTTATTTATAGTTTTAGCATACTCGTACTTCCTTAATTAGCGTTTTGCTTATCTATTTCTCTCGCTATCTATACAAATATATCTTTATCTTTTTGCAGCCAAATTCAGTTGTATCTGAAATTCTTGTTTCCAACACGCTCAAAGTACGTTTTGATTTCCTAATTTTTAATTCACTTGTCGCCATTTATTGTTACATGAAAACCCACATAATTTCCCACATTTCTATTAACTTGGGCGCATAAATCACACAGCAGCGGCAGCGGCAGCAGCAGCAGCAGCAATCAATTCCGATCATAACAATAATAATAATGCACATCTCACTCATTCAATCGTACAACAAACAATAGTACAACAACTTTATCTAACATTTAGATAACACATCGCTATTCACTCGTTCACTCACTCATTCATTCATTCATTCGTTTGTCCCTTGTTGTTGCCATACTCGTACTCGCATATTGTAGATATAGTATATTGCTTTTTACGATCTGTTTGATGGTGTTGTGAAGTAGAGAGACATAGAATTAAAGCCACCAGACGAAATGGAAAGCTCTGCCGCGTTTTAATGTTTGCATTTTATGGCCAAAGCCCATATGCTGCGACACACATTTATTCATTGGGGCAGGCAGGAGGGACTGGAATCCTCACAAACAAGCAGACACTTTGACCCATTTTTTATGGGTGCCACATTGTGGCAGCAACGGCCGAGATAAGCGCCTCACAGACATGCCAAGTCAATTAAACGAATAGAGAGATGTTGCAGAGCTGGTAATTACTGACACAGCAATACTCTACAACAATTAACAATATTATAATCACATTTAAAACTAATTCAGGGTTGCATAAATGCATTATCGATAACAATCCAAATTAAATTTCGTCACTGTCTTTCCAATTCGATTATTCAATTAATACCAAATAAAAGCAATTAGATTTTGTTGAATAGAACTTTAATATAAGAAATAGTAACAGACTTCTCAATGATCTAAAAAATTAACAGAGTTTGCAAACATGAAATATGGTTTAAGGGTTTACTAAATAGTTCAAAATGCAAAAAATGTGATCAGCATGCGACCACGAATCGGAGTCGATTGTCCGTCCGTATGAACACGGAGAACTTCTGAGTCATAAGCGCTAGGGACACCAAACTTGATATGCAGACTTGTCTGATTGATGTGCAGAACTAGTTTATTATAAATGATATATAGCTTCATAAATATATATATTGCTGCCATAGGATCGATCTATGCGAAATTCACACTTATTAAAATATTTATTTTATTTTGAAGATATCATAAACAAATTTCATAATTATGAATTGAATATTTCCTCTTCCTAATCTGTAGATGTGATTCGGCTAACTATATATTTAAGTTGTTAAAGGAACGATAGCTGCAGTAATCAAATCATAGAACCACTCTATTGCTTATTATAATATCGTAACCAAAATTGGTCTTTATGCGATTTCTACAGTCCTTCTTCCTAATCTGATTGGCTCAACAAATTTCATTTTAATTGAATGTCCGTACCGTGGAAAAGTGTGACTACAGAGTATTCAAATTCTACACGTTTCCACTGTAGCCAACGTCTCATTCCCACCTAAAAAACTTAGCTGACTCAACTGCTTTGGAGCTTCGTTGCGTTTTATTAAGCTGGCGCCAAACTTCCAATTAAGACTGAATCGAGTTCAAAAAGTCAATTGCACTAAAAACATTTTGATTTCTAGTCAGCCTCTTGTTTAGTTTTGTTAAGTTTTCGGCGCAAAAGCTTTTAATTATTAAGAATTGCAGCAGCAGCAGCCGCAGCACAATGACTAATTAGAGCGGAGAAGTAGAGCGGCTGTAGTAGGCTTGGAATTTATGAAATGCTTAATACAGCTGGCATTAATCACTCAACATGCGGACACATGTGTGCAAACAAGTCTCTATTTAAATGATTGAGCATGAAACGGAGCTCATTGTTGCCTCCAAATTCCACTGATACGAGTAATAATCAAGTGCTATGAAGCTATAATTAACAGTCTGGCGTAATAGCACTAAATGCATCATTTTCAGCTAAACAATTTGACAAACGCATGAATTGTAAAAGCGACCCACAATTTTTTATGGGTGCGCACAATTTTCAAAGGCTTGCCCCTCTTTAGTAACTAAACACTGTCTTCCCACCCAACGATGTCGCTTATCAGCTTGCTTTTGAAAGTAATTTAATCAGAAATATATGTATGTTCGTTGGCTGACACTGAAATACATAACTATGTATACTACTTGTATATAGTGTATATATTGGCAAGACATAAAAAGCTGTACCTGTGCACAAATTTATTTTGCAAAATATTTACTTAACGTTGGCGATTATTTGCCGTCCATATGCCGTGGGTCTGGCACAGAAGCATGTGCTGTGAGCTCGTTTACTTTGCATTTTTCAGGCTACTAAATATTATTTAAACATCATAAAGATGTACGAAAAGTGGCTTTGCCATAATGCACACAGAGCTGTAAATAAACACCGAGTAGGGGACGCAAAGGAGGAATCCAGACGAGAGCTTCATGTGCGGGCTACTGTCCTCCTCCTGCTCCTCCCCCGCCTCCTTCACCTCCTTCACCTCCTTCTAGAGCTTCTGGAACTGTGTCATGCGAAACCTTGATTTGTGTCGCCTGAAAGCAGTTGCGTTATGAAATCATCAGTCGCTGTCTGTATGTACATAAAAGTACATACATATAAGTAGTATGTATGCCTTCATATAATGCTTACCATGTGTGTGTGTGTGTGTGTGTGTGTGTGTGAGTAAATGAGTGGGACCCCAAAAGTATAGAGCTCGCATTGCAACATAAGGGCGCATCTGATATATACAACTGATTGTAAGTGAGGAGCTCTTTATGCTGTTCTTTGTGGCATTAGGAACGGCATACATTTCTTGAAATAATTACAAAAGTGTTACTAAATGTGTTTAAAATAAATAGTTTGCATATGTTTAAATCCCTTTTGTAATACTTCAAAAAGGAATTCATTTGGGTTTCATTAAAAATTCGAATAAATGCATGAGCTGTTTTAATTTTTGTTAAATGCGATTTCAAAAAATAAATATATGCATGGCCTACTTGCAACGTTTGAAGCTTTTGTATGCAAATTATTTGCCTGTCTGACCGCAGCAGAACAAGTCCAAAAACACATATCATGACAACTTATTAACAAAGTAATTAGTAGACGGCTTTTAAATGCATTTAAAGAGGAAGTTAATCGCCTGCCTAGTATGTTCAAATGTTTCATCTCTTACCTCAACTAATGAGAATATAATTTCCTATGTAAATGAAAACAATTCCACACACACACACACTCTGTGGACATCAACGCAACTACCTACTAGTATTTACAGCTTTTGTGCACATTTATTTGCCAACTTTCAAATCTGAATTTTCGGGCCAAACAGCCAAGCAGCCAACCAGCCAGCCAGTCACCGAACTGAAAATCTTACCTACAACTCCCGGCTGCAAACACCAAATAGTTGCGTATGCCATATAAGCATGTGCCTCCCAGTTTCTGTAGTTCTTGTTGTTGCTGTTTTTGCTGAGGCTGCTCGAGACCACAGGAACCACAGACCTCGCCCCCCTCTAGATTGCAACAACGTCTGGCGCACAGTTAAAAGCAGAAAATTGTTTATGCTAATTGCGTTTAATTTATGCATGCGTTGCGGCAACGTACATAAATGCATACCAGCATATACATACATGCATACATATGTATCTACAAATGTACATATGTATGTAGTTATGCTCTAGTGTGTGTATGCAAATGTATCTACAAGTTGTAAGAATCTTTTGTGTGTCTCGAAAAATAAAAGCAAAACCAAATGCAAGGCAACATGCTGTTCAACTTGTTGTTGTTGTTGTTGGCAAATGCGTGCACATACAATTGATATTTATTAGTGCGACAACAATAGCAACAACAACAACAACACAACAGTCTAACAATTTTTGCGTGCCTCAAATGTGCAATTATCGAAGTTGCCGAAGCGGCCAAACTGTCCACAGAGCTTGACATTTGCATGCTCTGCCAATGCTCGAAGGGGGGCGGCGGGTTGCTGGGTGGGTGGCTAGGAGGGACTAGCAGCGCTGGCGTCGCCGGTAATGTGATATGCAATTGTGCCCCACCTCTTTATCTCTGCACTCCGCAACAGAATGCAACTATCGCACAGACGCAGACATCATAGACAGTTGACGTGGCATGCAAACGCCAAAAGCCATTTAAGGCTCTTCACACGAAGCACCAAAAAAAAAAAAGACACGTCAGACATCTGACGCTGAGGCCTCGTTTACACTGAAATAAAATCTTGCAAAGCTCTCCCAATCTCGAAAGCTATACATACTGGTCAGTACTTGACTTTAAATTATTGGGCCTGCTCAAACATCGCTCTAGAATCTTGCAATCATCTTCTACCCAATATTATTGACAATTATTTCGATACTTCACTTATCGATACTAATTTCGTTTCATTTACTTGCGAATAAAGAAGTCCTAATTATGGCAAAACTCAATTTACATAATAGTCTTAATTTCTCAAAATATTGGACGTCCTTGAATATATTCCTAGAAACTTGCATTCATCATTACTGAAAATCTTATCGATAATCAGCAAAATATCGATGCTTTTCCGAATATAGAACAAACATTTTTAAAAATTATTTCCATACTTGGCTATTTGTTGTTGTCAATTCGATTTTATACTCTACTAATGTTAGTAACTAATTTCGAATTTTTGAATACTCAATCGTATTTTGATACTTTTTACAATAACTTTCTGCATTCTTTTAAACAATTATGTCGATTGAAAAATTATTTATCATAATAATTAGAATATAAAGAGCTCTTTCTTAGGAAAACAATTGTATGAATTTCTAATATCATATTAAACAGCAAAGTAAATGTGAGAAGACTGTGAAAAACACTTTAAGCTCAAATCAATTATTTTCTGCTAACATATTTAACATCGAAATATTTGAAAATAGCATTCAAAAGTAGATTCCTCCCTTAATCGGTTTTAAATTACAATTAAAACCAACGCAATTCCACACTTGTTACAAAAAGATGTTTGTAAAAACAAATTTGATTACCGAATTCGAACAGGTTTCACAAAAATATTGCCGAT